GACCGACGCCGACAGCCCCGAAGACTTCCTCTCTCTTTACCTCCAAAGCCACAGACCTCACTTGAAACACTTCGTCTCCTCATCCTCAACCCCCGTCTCCGCTATCTTCATCGATTTATTCGCAACCGCACTGCTCGACGTAGCAAACGAGCTCCGTATTCCTTCTTACGTCTACTTCACTTCAACCGCTCTCATGTTAGCGTTAATGCTTCACTTGCCAGCTCTCGAAGAAAAAATAACCGGAGAGTTCGAGGACGTCGAAGGAGGAATCCCTTTGCCCGGGGTAGAGGCGATACCGGGGAGCTCAATGCCAAGCCCGTTTATGAGGAAGGAGAGCAAGGCGTATACGTGGTTTGTGTATCACGGGAGGAGGTATAGAGAGGCAAAAGGGATTGTCGTCAACACGTTTGAGGAGTTGGAGAGTCGAGCGCTGAGGCTGTTGGGTGAGGGTTTGTTTATACCGGATTGCTCGACGCCGAAGGTTTTCCCGGTTGGTCCTGTTTTGGCGACTGGAGAGGGCGACGAGGGAGGGTTGAGCAAGCACGAGTGTTTCCCGGTTGGTCCTGTTTTGGCGACTGGAGAGGGCGACGAGGGAGGGTTGAGCAAGCACGAGTGTGTTCGGTGGTTGGATCAGCAGCCGCCGGGGTCTGTGGTGTTCTTGTGTTTTGGGAGTATGGGATGCTTTGATGCTGCCCAGGTTAGTAATCGATCGCAATGTTTCGCTGATTACTGTATGTGTTGTCGTAAGTTTATCCTTGCTATATTTCGGATGGATAAAAGATTAATTAATCCGTTAGGTTAAGTTTATTTTAGCAATACAACGGAAGGTTTAACCGTATATCAACAATGGGAAGAAGGAAAATGAAAGAAAAACAAGCACGTAGATAGACCACATCGATTTAATGAGGTTTGGTGATGAATGTTTTGATTATGTTCTCAGAGCACAAACCAGGTCACGGTTCCACTAACAATCCACAAAGTACTACGAACAGCTTTCTCGAATGCAAATTGATGGGAGGTTGAAAGATTTGTCGCGCGCCTTTGCGGAAGCCTTGCACGAACTCACAACGAACCTGTGATCACGAGTAGAAGAAAGCCAAACACTTGCACAAACCAAGCCAATTACGACAAATCAAACCAAACACAAGGATATACGTGGTTCGGCAATTGCCTACGTCCACGGGGAGAGGATGGGGAGATTTCACTATATGGAGGAGAAATACAACGGGTTACAACTCACAAAATCACTCAAATATAACCCTAACCAAAGCTCTCAACTCCCTCACAATATCTCCCTCTCAAAGTGCTCAAAACAATGCTAAATCTCTTCTTTTCTCTCCTTAAGAAACCCTAAAAAACGTGGTCCTATTTATAATAAAACACAATCCCAAACAAAGGAGGATTCCTCAACAAATAAGGATTCTAAAAACGAGTCTGCCACACCCTGCACCATGGGTGTGGCAGAGGGTGTGGTGCAGGAGTGGTGCAGGACAGATTCTGCCACACCCTGCACCGTGGGTGTGGCAGAGGGTGTGGTGCAGGACAGATTCTACCACACCCATGGCAGACACCACACCAGGGTGTGGTGGAGCCTGTTTTGAGTTATTCTTCACGTTTTTCACAATTCCTTCGCCGTTTTCACAATTCTCCACCTCGGCGAAGTGTTCCCAACACTGAGCCGACACCAACATGAGCACCAATGTGTCGTCTCTCTAAACTCGGCTGCACCAATGCGGTTGCCTACGTACCCCCTCTCCCAAGGGATCAAGCCGCCCGTAGTTCATCCAAATGGCCGCCAACGGCCTCAACAATTACGAATGTGCAACAAGTTTCGACAATGATCAAACTTGTTGCTCGGAACCACCTTAGTGAGCATATCTGCCGGATTATCCTTCGTGTGGACTTTCACAATTTCCACATCGCCATCTTCAAGAACATCCCGAACGAAGTGATAACGAACGTCAATGTGCTTCGTCCTCGCATGAAAAACCTGATTCTTCGCCAAATATATAGCACTCATGCTATCGCAATGAATAGTGACGGATCGCTGCGATATACCAAGTTCTTCCAAAAGTCCTCGAAGCCAAATAGCCTCCTTCACAGCCTCCGTAACCGCCATATACTCTGCCTCCGTCGTAGACAAAGCCACCGTAGACTGTAAGGTGCATCTCCAACACACCGGCGCACGGGTCAAAGTGAACACATACCCCGTAGTAGACCGGCGCTTATCCAAATCCCCGGCATAATCCGAATCAACATAGCCAATGCATAGCTGCCCACCTGTAGTGTCCCGCTCATAAACCAAACCAACATTGAGCGTACCTCTAATGTACCTCAAAATCCATCTCACGGCGTCCCAATGACCCACTCCTGGATCGTGCATGTATCTCGACACCATGCTCACTGCCTGTGACAAATCCGGCCTCGTACATACCATCGCGTACATCAAGCTCCCAACTGCGCT